TTATTAGCTTCACAAATACATAAACTGTGAGACGTCGATTAAATTACTGTAGGTAAGTTATTTGTTAACATAATATTTAATTTTATATAGAAAAAAGCAACCGAATTTTAACTAAGTTGAGTTGCTTTTTTTTCTAGTTAACCTATTCATTCATGTCATATATACAGTACCTAGTTATATATAATGCAATGATATCATCAAAAACTGGTACTATTTTATAGGTATGATAATATTTTTCTAGCCGCCTTAATTAGTTTACCTAGCTACATTTGTCCGTACAATTAAACAATAATATTATAATTTATAAACACAATTGTTATTGTATCCCAAATATATTTACGGAAAATGGGAAATCTCACGATTCAATTTTCTCAACTTACCGTATTTCTTCGCAGATGATGTATTATATCTGTGTTGATATTATTCACTCGCTTTCTTAATAATATATTTTATTGGACCTATACCTACCTACCTATATTTGAAAGAATAAATAAATTTTGACTTTTCGAGTGACGGTCGACGTAAAATATTATATTGAATGATTAGATCTTCCCAACCCAATTATGGTTGTTTACACGAAAATACCTCCCGTGGTGTGCTAAAACCAGAATTTCGAAACACACTGGTTATATGATAAAATCTTATTTTGGAAAAAAAAATTAGTCGAAATTTAGTAATTTGTAAAAATATTCTATATAAATTATTAATGTTTTGTACAAGTATCAAAGTTAAACAAACCAGTGAAAAATATACAATTTTTAAGTGAATTTAATTTTTAAGCCCCGAGCAACTACGGATCATGAAACCAAATTTACACTGCGATCATAGGGGTATACATTGTGTACTGCATTCAATTAATGACGAGCTAAAATGAATCGTTTTATAAGGGTTGAGATCATGTACCTCGTTGATAAAAATATGTAATATAATTTTTTCTCTTTTGAATTCATTTTCAATGTTGAATTACCTACCTGTACATAAAGAGTAAAATTTATGATTTTTCATTGTCAACAATTTACATTCATATTAATTGTAATTTTGGTTAGGTGAGTTGTAAAACAAACTTGGCAAAGTTCAAATTCTGAATACGTCTTAAAATGTGTTTGGTACTTATTGCACCTTGCAATTTAAATAATATAGTATATCATAATTATATAGTACTCACTAAATATATTTTTAATAATAATAATATGATTTACTACACACTTATATTACGTAGGTCCGTAGGTACCTAACGAGTAACGTTGACTATAGTGACAAACTGACAACTAAAGATGTACATCATTGTATACTATTATTTATTATACAACAATATATTATTTTATAGATCGGATCAAGCAGTAGATTCACTGGTGTATTATGGTCGATTTTTGTGACAATATAACTATAACAATAAAACAATACACAACAATATAATATGTTTCTGCAAGTACTTACAGCAATTTATTTAGTTCTGAACCGAGCAAAGGTTGTATGGATTTTACAATGATTAAGGGTTTTTTTTTTGCTAGCGATTGAAGACAGTAGAAAAAATGCTTCAATCATCAACTTAGGGGGAGGTTGCTGATTGAAAATCTCGGATTTAGATTGTTTGAACATCTTTGAATTTTTACACTAAAAAATCGGGTATGTGGATGTCTCTCTGGCTCTCTGCTGTATATTAGGTGTGTATAAGAGGTCGTTGTAATGGATCGTATTAAATTTGAATTCAGTGATATCGAATCATTGTGTACGAAAAACGGTTCTGAGCGGAGACGGTATGTCAGTTTGGGCTATTTTATAATGTTATTACTTATGATTAATATGGTAACCGGTAAGTTGAATTAATATTATTCTTAACTTATCAGTGACGCAGGAAAAATATCAAATATACCTATGTAAAATTGGGCTGTTTTGGAACCGAATTACAACAAAAAGATAACCATTATTCTTTGTGATGATATGCTATTTTGTCCAAATTTGAACTTAAAATGTCTGTAGAAAATTACAGTATTTATAGATTTTTTAGATTTCTTAATTATGGAAAACACTGCTTAAGTGGAACCTTGTTTTAAATGCTCAATCCTTAGCTATAAAAATTTAACATTTAATTTTATACATTTTTAATTACAAAATGATCTTCAATTTAATAAATATTGTCAAAATTCGACTTTATGCTTAAAAAAAAAATCATGACTACCTATGTATTTTTAATATTTTTCAACTGATATTGTAACAAGTTATCAAGAGTCTTGTATTCAATGTTTATGCTTTTTGACCTAACCAATACAATTTTATTGACTTTTATAGAAAAAAAATAAAAATAAATGTCGGTCAAAAGCCTATAACGAGTCAGACTATTTTGAAAATTTGGTTTTGAATTTTAGACTTCTTATTGTTTCACTAGATCTACCAAGTTGGAAATATACCATATTCACATCGTATGTTGCTGGGGCGTGTGTTAGATAAAATTGGTTTCCTATCCCAATAACTAATTAATATCACACTTGCAGCTGATGTGGATAAATAAAAAGAAAAAAATGCTCAACATATGAAAAATTCAATGAATACTACTGCTAATGTTAATCTCTCAGAATTTGGTATGTCTAGTTCGCATAATGATTTATGAAAACAATATTATTGATACTTCTTTTTTAAATTATTGTTGCTGATCATTGACATTTGTAGAAAAAAACTGAAAAAATAGAAATGGAAATGTCGGTCAACATCCTATAATGAGTCAAAATATTTTGAAAATATTATCAAGTATATACTTTATTTATCTTAACTTACCTCTAAATTAATGTACCATCACCACTTTAATTTTAATATTTGTTTAACAATAAATAAAATTTTATTTCGCGTATTATTGTTGAACCATTGTTGGCATTTAATCTCTTTTCTGCATGCCAATGTACTATTATACAAAAAATTAAACAAAAAAAGTACAAAATGTGAGCTGTATCATGATGAAAATGCCTATACGTTAGTTGGACAAATGTGGCTAAATAGTAAACCATGTTTCAAAGACTATTAAGGCTTGGAAGAAAACAAAATCAAAATCAATATATGTGAGCGTCATTTATTTTTTAATTGCATTTATATATTAAAATATAAGAATATAAACACTAACATTTAAGAGGAACACCAACAAATAATTATTGTAACCATATTGGTAAAAAACATAAATTATACTATAAATATTTATAATAATATAACAATATTTGTCGCCGAAACTAAAGGCCAATAAAAAAAAATTTCTAATATAATATTATTCATGAAATCTATTTAGATTAAAATTTCAAAATGAAAAAGATTTAACAAATCAAACATACATTCCTAATATCTATAATTACATATGCATGATAATATCGAAATAAAACAAAATATGCAGTGGCTTCAGTTTCTTCGTTTTTGATTGTGTCATAGTCCGACAGTTGATTCTAATATGCCGAGTCGATCAAGTTTAGCTAATCCAACACAAAATACCGAGAAACAGGACATACAATTATCATAAAATATCACACAATTCATAAATTCATACGACATATGTATAATGTATATATAGGTTATTATATTATATTATATATATTTATAGCTATCCATACCCAACTGCTGTGGATCTCGAATTCGTCGTCGCCTTGGTCAAATCTATACTTTATCTGCTGACTAAGCGGAGTTTTAATCCCGTTGAGTTCATGTTTGCGATCGAGAGAAATAACACAAACTGATAAAATAAAATAGTGTTAAATTTGTTAAGTTGAACAATGTATTTGTTTATACCTGTTCTGAAGATTTGCTGTGTACGTCGTCACTTGTCGTTGTCATTTTCTTTGTCGTCGTCATTTTCATCATCGACATTCGACGTCATATTCATCATCGTCGTCGGTCTAAATGTCGTTAACGGCTTGGTCGAACGTTTACTGTGTACCTATACTGTACTAGTAATTTGATAGATTTCTTGCGGTTTTAAATCAATGTAAGTAGGTATGTATTCAAATCAAACGCTATAAGCAGGCAATGACGAAATCCAGCAGTATAATTATTTCTGTGTATTGTTTAGCTGATAATAGGTGTACATAAATTGAATAGTATAAATAATAAATGATCATAAAATAAAGTCACAAAACATTGATATACTTAACTACTAATATAATATTAAATCTTGATTTGAGATAAAATATATTTTGTTATTTTATTACTATTTTTTTACCGATCACATATATAATAGAATGTGGAAGGTATTCATAATTATAGATACTTGCAACTTGCCTAACTTATGACTTACCAACCAGATTCAACTTAATTTTGTAGTTGTTCGCAAAATAAAAGGATCTGATTCGCGTTGTCTATCAGGTATTTATGGACTTACTAAAAACGATTCGACCACTCAAAATTGTACTTAAATGTTTTTATAACATAATAATATGTATTTTGAACGTCTAACTACGCAATAATGTTCAAACGATATAGCATATGAATAAATATATTACTATGAACAAATAATACAACAAACTTATTACATAAAAAAAATGTATATTTAATCACAAACAAAGAAAAACCGTCAGGTATATCATGTTTTCATACACAAAATGTAAAAATGCAAAACAATTGTTATCATAGGTATATGCACCTATCTATCATGCATATCAAAAACAAAATATGAAAAAATTAAATAGGTACATCAAAAAGTAAATGATCGAATACATGATAATATATATATTATATATTCATATAATAAGTTTATAGGTTATTAATTTGTTATTCGTTATCTGAATAAAATACATTTTGTAAGAAAATGGTAAGAAAAAATATTTTCTAAAAGAAAAAAATAATGTACACTAAAGTGTGCAAACAAATACAAAGAATGAAAAAAAGTTGCAATTAAAAAAAAATATATGTATGAAAAAAGTTAATAAAAAATGTGCAAACCATCAATCTGAAACGTTAACCGTATTCCAAAAAATACAGGCTGACTGTGGTAACTACTGGTAATACTAGCATAGAAGTTTGAACATAAATTATTCCACGTTCACAATACTTTGGCAGAAACATATTCTACGTGCCACGTTCACGAAACATTTCCAGACGCGTCTTTTGGACCTCTTCCAAAGTGATCTGCGCGCAGGTATACTTGGGATTTCTGTCATTTTTGACTGCACTTGCGGGATAGTGTTCACTCCACCATACTTGGGCGGGAGAATATTGATCTCTGGAGATGACTGGATATGAAGTGCAAGTTTATGCCGTAGTTGCATTGGTCCGCAGAAAGCTTCAATCCTGCGATCGACGGCCAGGTCCATCGCATCGATCAGTGAGGATCGGTGATGGAGTTGCACTGTTGTTGGTGTAGTCTAATAATATGATAAAATAAAAATCGTAAAATTCTTAAAAACTATAATCATACAATATAATATTATATGTACATACCCGCTCTGGAGATCTGCTGTGTACGTCGTCGTTGTCATCATCGTCGCCGTCTTTATCTTCATCGTTTTCGTCGTCATTTCCATCATCGTCGTTGTCGTCATCATTTCCACCATCGTCGTTGTCGTCGTCATTTCCATCATCGTTGTTGTCGTCGTCATCTTCATCATCTTCATTAATCTCAATAGTCTCATTATAGTCGTCATTAGTGTTATCGTCGTCGTCGGTCTCATCGTACATCTTATATTCAATAAAAACAATTGACCCATCATGGACAGTAGTGTTGTAGTTCCGTTTTCCGTTATCTCCAATGTTTCCAATTTCCAATTCGTTTGTAATTGCCAATTTCTCAAGCCGGTCTTTTGTCCCCATATTGTTCCCACGAGTAGGCATGAAATAAAACGTCGCACTGCGGCAGTGCAGCGTACCGCAGAGAAGGCAAATACTGTGGGGGGTGCCAAGTCCCCACAGGTTCCACGTGGACACACACTGACCTCTGTGCCAAGTACTCCCCCTTCACGCGTTTGGGGGTTGAGGGGTTTTTTTTCAGGGTTGTCCTTCCCTTAGGGCATTTGCTCAGCGCGAGCAGGCTGCCTCCGACCTTACCGGCCCTTTCTCCTATCACCTATTCAGAGAAAGAGCCGACTCAGAATTTTTTATCGTGGTTTTCCTTCCACTAGGGCTTTGCTGGCGCTAGCAGGCTACCTCCAACCTGCCGACCCCAGCCAGTTAAGGCGAGGGCGGCTCTTGAAACTCCGGCTCCAACCGATTAAGGTCACAGCCGGGTTGGGACCACTTGGTAAGACCTAATTAAAGGCTCGCAAGCTCCCCCACCACATCAAGGTGGATCCCGTCGGGGGAGTTCGTTAGAAAGTTATGTTATTTAAATAATAGTTTTTTATAACAATCTATAAATTATTCAGTATAATAGGTACCTTATCCAAAGCTAATGATGAAAGCACAGTCTATAATGTTTATCACACTTGTACACAAGGATGAGCATTAATGAGTTGAATAGTTAATTGAATTTAAACTTTTTAATTTAATTAATTATTTTTGAGTTTCCGTCAGTTTAACTAATTTAACTATTAATAAATATATTTAATAAACTATTCATTATAGTACTCCCTCAAAGCGGAAACGAATCCTGATTTCCAATAGTTGTGATGAATTTAAAAAAAATAAGGTTAGCACTAATAATATCCACTTTATCACTAATCGGTATATTTCAAATAAAAATAATTTATTTGAAATCAAAAACAGTATACCTGCTAACAAAACAATTTTATATTAATGAATTAAAATATTAAATTCTCGAAAATATGTAACGTTTAAGTATTTACTTGAACATTGTGCTCTGTTTTTATTATAAATAAATACATATTACAAACAGCTAAGCTTGCGCTACAGAATGAGGGAGAGGGTTCAAAAACAATTTAGAAGAAATATGTTGATATAGAAAAAAACTTTTAAAAAAATGAATAAAATGTGTATAAAGATAATGAAAGAGTAAAATATGTAAACAAATACCTAACAAAATTTCATTTTATAAATTCATACTCATAACATCCTCATAAACTAAAATATAATAAAATGAATTTATTGTTGATTATTTTAACTAAACTACGCAGAATAATCATAATGTGAAAAAGAATTTAAATAGGTAGGTAATTAATTTTAAATTTCTTAAATCTAGTTCAAAATATTTACATAAATTCTACACCGATATTAATTGGACTTCTGTGATACTTATAACCGACATTTCTACATATTATCTTTTAAAATATATACTCTATTTACATTATTTAAATATTCTGTTTCTAGAAAATTATTATCAAATCAAGCTTTCTATACAAATGATACACTAATTCACCAAGTTGTACAATCATATCTTCATCAATATTTTTATGTTCAATTAAAACCAATTTATCGTAGTCAGTAATACAAATAATATTTCCTTTAATTTTTAGTTTAATATACCACTTGCGAACGATTCATTGAATGTGTAAAATGAATAAATAAAATGTGTAATAAAATTAATATTTTTGAAAAAAGTCATGAGTTAAAAATTATAATTATAATCTTAAAAAAACAACTATTAAATTTCAATTTTGGAAGAAAAATAGAATGTTCTCTATCTTACAAATCGTTTTTTAATATTCTTGAAAATGTGGTTTTAAACCGTAAATGTAGGTATAATAACTGTTCTCAATCGTACTTTACCGAACAATTTCGTTTTGATTACGTTTCAGGTCGTAAGTACTTACCTATGACGGTCATCATCTCCATCGTCTGATCGCCGTCGCTAGCAGTCCATTTTTAAGGATACTTATAATAATAGGTAGCGACTCAAAGTTGCAAAAAGAAAAGTTGTTTTCTAAAAATAATTAATTTAACACATTCCACGAAATAAATTGTTTTTTTTTTAGCTTAACTAAATAATTTTAATAATTGTTTATTATTCGACGTCGTTACCGACCTGCCTGGAAACATCTGTGGTTGTCACGTTTGAATTTTATTTATTATCAGCCAGCGACTATTTTTTACTAAGGTATTTTTCCATAGACTCACGCTCGTAACAAATATCGACTATAGTATTATTTAAACTTTACGTAAATATCTGTGATTTACTAAATTACACTAAATTTTATTATTATGCATTAATTAAATTATATTTTAATACTTATACCTATGTAATTAGGCACCTATATGATAACTCACATAATTATAACACAGCGATGCTGTGACAGCATCAACAATGTCAAATGTCAATTTATATTATTGTGTTTTATTATTCGCATTCCATATTTTAGGGTTAAAATTGCAAAAATGATGTTGTAAGTTTGTTTGTACGTCGGTGACTTGAGTTGTAATGCCACCCACTACAAAATGTCTTTATCCGTCACGCATAACTACTCGATTATTTTAATAAATTATGTAGGTAAGATATCTTTTTAAATATGCTTACAATTATAAAACAATAAACATACTTATAAAGAATATTCATTGCGTTAATTTTAGTTTTACTTGCTATGGACTGGCGTCCCGCGACACACCTTTAAAGGTACTACCGGGGCAAATTCTGGTGTCTTAGACCAGGTACAGGTTTTACACAATATGTCAATATATGAGGGTTGCGACAATCGGTGAAAGACATAAGCGCCAAAATGTGATAAGAAAAAAAATCGTGCCTTACAAAAGCGCCAAAATCGTATCGTACATAATCGCGAAAATTAGATGAGAAAAAAAAATCGTATTTTACAAAAGCGCCAAAATTCTAGGTACCTGTGTGCTACGCAGTGGCGGCTCGTGCCTAGGTGTGCAAGGGTGAGCTCACCACATATATTAATTAGATATAATAGTGAAAATGTATAACAATAATGCATTTCTGTATAATAATAAATTCATTTTAACAAATATCTGTTTAACTGTATTTATTATATAAAAAAATTAAATTTTAAAAACAAACAAACGACAATTATTATTATACTCCTAATTAATATTTTTTAAAGTACTTAATATTATTTTCTAAAACTGTATAATCTCAAAATTAAAAATGCTAATAAATATTTTACTAATTACATTTATACTTAAAACAGACTAATTTTTTTAAAATAAACTTTTGCAATGATTGCACACCACCTACTTTGAACACCACGAGCCACTGGTGCTACGGTTTATAGATATTAAATAACAGATAATATTATAATTAGAACTATATCGATCAAAAACTCCAAATATTTAATCTTAATCGATAAATGTATTATTTTACAAAAACTCAACCAATTTATTAAATTTATATTTATTGCATGTATAAATACCTGTACTCATATTATATTTTAACAATTTATTATTGACATTTTTTTTAATGTAATATATTATATGAAATAAAATATTAATTTTGGCGCAAATGATAGGTCATTATTATACCTTTGGCGCTTATGCCATGTGCTAGGTAAAACAGGTATACAATATTAGATTGGCGCTTATGTCATACAAATTTTGGCGCAAATGATAGGTCATTTTTGTACCTTTGGCGCTTATGTCATGTAGCCGCGACAATAAGCAATTACCTTTACTTTATTTTAACCGAGCCTATTTTGTTTCCTTTAGATACTGTAATAATATTTAGCCACGCTTGTGATCAATAATTTAACGGTGCATATAGTAATCTTGTGAATAACACAATAAATTTTCGACCATACACATGACAACGTCCAGGATACGCAATCGGGAAAGTCTTATCGGGGCGTGGGCCGTTAGTATTTCCCGGTTCGAATGTCGGCGGACACAGCATCCGTGGGAACAATAATCGTATCTAGAGGGCTGGGAAAAGTAGAGGGTAGGCCTATATAGGAGACCCCCGAAAAGACCATATTCAGATGTGATTTGACCAGAAGAGCCAGAGCACCTTCTCGCTAGTCAGTCTTTTGATTTTATTATTTGGACTTAGTTTAGTTTTTATACTATTATGAATTATTTATTGTAAGTGACTTACTGAATATTATAACGGTAATATAATTATATTATTTTTTTGTATTGTCATTGTCTTAATTTTTATAGATCACCAGACTATGACTATAGTCATACAATAATAGACTATATAGGCGTATATTAAACCCGACGTATGCACATTGCACACCCACACACACTTCAGCATCGGCGTTAAAAATTCAGACGAAAAACCTATCCGAATTTACCATTCGCAAGTACCCAGCCGAATAATCACTGACCGGGGCACCTGTTTCACGAGTAGAACGTTTGTAGGGTTCTGTCGGCAACGAGGGATTAGTCATACCCTCAACTCAACTCGGCACTCGCAGGCGAATGGGCAGGTTGAGAGGGCGAACAGAACCATACTTCCACTGCTCAGTATGATGTCCGACGACCAACCGCATTGGGACGTTCGTTTGCCCGAATTGGAGCAACATCTCAATTCGGCTGTGAGCTAGGCCAGTAGCAATAGTCTCCGTTCGAGGTGCTGCACGGATACAGCCCTCCGGAACCACGGTAGCGTTATGTTCGACCATAGTCACACCCGCGACGATTGGGCCGACCCGAGCTTGCAACAGGATCAGGCACGACCAGCCATCGAGCAAGGCCAGTCCCGCATGAAAAAGTGGTACGACCAGCGTCACCATCCGGGTGTGAGGTATACGACGTCGGGGAGGTTGTGGTGATGCTGCGGCAACCACGGCGCGACCAGAGCACCGAGTTGCAGGTGAAATACCGCGAACGAACTCTACAGGTCATCAAAGTGCTACCAAGAGACACGCGTATAGAGTAGCGGAGTTGGGCACAGACGGTCGAGAGGTGTATGCGACTACACAGCTCACGTACCCGCAAAAGTGGTGTAGTTTCGTGGTGGGCGG